TCAGTGATCTTGGAATTATTTCTTATATTTGGGCCTTATACGAGTACGAATAAATTGATTTTATTCTGGTATTTACCAGAATTTCGATTAGGGTAAATTAAATAAAAATTGAGTAAATTATGTGTTACCATTGTGAAAATTGTAGAAGATGTTTTAAAAATGAATACATAAATTTGAAAACTTTTAACCAAAAATAATAAATAAGTGCAACAAATAAATAAATAAATATTTACATAAGTGCAGTGCAAAAAATTCCTAACAAATTTCAATTTACTTTACCCTAATTTACTCGAACTCGCACACGGCCTTAATTATTCGTAAATAATTTTTTGAGACTGCAAGTACCAAGAATTGAACTCATGCCCTGCCAAGTTTGAAGCTCAGAGTCAGCGCACTGACTCTGCGCTGATGCAAAGCCGTAGTTGAGTTCTATGTTTGCACATTTTTCAGGAATTTTATTAATTTGCTGTAAAAGTTGTATTAACAAATTCACTTGTTGTATTTATATTAGAAGGAAATCATTGAGTTAAAGAATAATTGAATTAATTAATTAAATTTTTATTTTTAATTGTTAAATTTTAATATTATTCTGTTAATAGAATATTGTATTTCATTAAAAAAAATTAATTTTGTATTAATCAGGAAATTCCAAATTCCAACGGAAATTCTTTTCTGTTAAAGTTTTATCCTGCTGCAAACCAATATTCTGCGAAAGCGCTTTGTGCGGTTAAATAACGTCATTAGCAACCTAAACTGCTTTAATGAAGGCAGTGAGAACATACTATAAACTTTATTTTTAAACTCTAAAGTTTAATAATTCATTTAAAAAATTGAAAAATAAATTGATTTTGTATGAATCAAGAAATTCCAACTGTGATTCTTCTGCCCTATGATTCTGAACGTATTATCCTGCTGCAAACCAATATTCTGCGAAAGCGCTTTTCGCAGTTAATCATTAGCAACATCATTAGCAACCTAAATCAAATAAACTGCTTTAATGAAGGCAATGAGAACATACTATAAACTTTAACGCTCATTTTCACTATCGCCGCTATATGTCATAGTCATAGTCAGATCATTCTGCTAAAACAATTACCCAGATTTTCTTTTTATGTATTTTCTTTCCATTTCATTCGTCAGCGTTGCTTGTAACATGTGCGTGCGACGGCTCATACAAAAATTGCACTTATTTTACACACACACACAAAATACTTTTCTTTACTTATTTTTCCTTGGAACTAAAAACGCAACGAAATATTTACCAAAGCTAAAGTAAAACCCAAAGCAAAAACAAAATGAGACATTACTCAAAGCCCCAAAAAAAAGTAAAAAGAGGTGCGTTCAGTGTGCAAAATTAAAAAAAAAAAAAAATTGGTAATAACAGCTGCACTTTGATATTCTTGAGCATGCCTTATTCTTATTGTTGTTGTCGGCTAAGCGAGGCGATGCTGATGAAGGTAATAAGAAGCAGATAAAATAATGCTGATGATGATGATTATGATTATGGCTACGACGATGAGTCAATCATTATCATTTTGCTGCACTGTGTTTCATTTTACTTTTTGCGCTAGCGGCTTTCAATATTTCGCTGATTGTGATAAACACTTTCAACCAGACATGCTAGCGCAAAAATATTTGTTAGTACCTTTATACCGGCCGCTTTATATCCACGTTTTCCAGCTTTTTTTTTACACACACACACACATATATATATACCACTTGTTAGTTTTGTTGTTGTTGTAGTTGTACTTGCTTTTGTTTTTACTTTTATTGCGACTGACAGACAGTCTATCTTTTAGTTTGAGTGTCTGTCTTGTTTGTTTTTGTCTCTGTCATTCAAGCTAGCATGCATTATTTTGTGCTGCCTACATGTGTGTGATTGTGATTGTCAAATAGCCGTCATCATCATTGCCTGGACAAACAATACTGAAGCGTTCGCCTTCGCTTAACTGATTTTGTTTTATTACACTCTTTTGCTGCTGCTGTTATTGTTGGTATTCTTATTGTTGTTGTTGACTGCACTGTGCTGATTGCTGCTTCGCGTTGCTTTAACATTTGCACTGCTTCTGTTGTTACAAGCAAGCGAGCTTAAGATGATGTTATTGCTGCAATGTGTATATTGTGTAGTAGAGAGGACCAGGCCAGGGCACGGCATAGCGGCAGCGTTGATAGAATATGTACGTATACGACGAACGTGTCAAATTATCCATCTGCGCTGCTGACGTTTTTACTTATTTGTTGATTTTTTGTTTTGGGCTGTTACTGCTTGTTGTTGTTGTTGTAGTTTTTGTTAGTAATGCTACTCTCAATTCTTTGTTCTGGCTGTAAAATTCATTTGCCAGTTGTTGTTGCTGTCGTTGTTATTGTTGTTGTATATTTTGCGTGCCATAGCGACTACAGCTTGTCGTAGAGTCCAACAGAGCAGAAGCGGCTTTTTTTCTGCTTTTAAAATTTCTTTTTTACTTTTTTTTTTTTAATTTATTTGTTTTTTTTTTTTTAACATAAGTTGGTTGGTCTGTTTTACTTTGCTTGCTTCCTTCCTTGCTTTGTTCAATAGCTGCGTTGCAGTTAGTAGCGTTTTTGAAATTCATTTTCAAAATCAGCGCCGCCTGTACTTGCACACTTTCGTGTGCTCAGTCTCAGTCGTCGTCAGTAGTCACTCACCAGTTAACATTTCAATTTATAGCTGTTAGCGTGCAGTGCAGTTCTTCAAAAAAAAAAAAAAAAAATACAAATAAAAGTAAACATTATTAAATTAAAAAACTGTAATTAAAATAAAATAAAAAGAGAAACCAAAAAAAAAACATTTTTAATCATAAGAGCAAAAATGGCTCCCAAGAAATCCACAATCGTTCTTAATGTGGAACAGTTTATAAAAGATGTGGAAGTGCGTCCAGCAATCTGGAATCGTAATTTCCATTGCAATAAAGCTTTTCTAGAACAGATGTGGGATGAACTTTCTACAGAACATAGTCTACCAAGTAAGTTACAATGGATTTTTTTTTAAATTTTGTTAATTAAAATAAATAACTTTTTCTTCCAGAAGTGGTTCTCAAGGCCAAGTGGAAGGGTTTGCGTGATAATTTTCGTGTGGAATATAAACGTATACCACGTTCAGATAGCGGTGAATTTTTAATAGAACCGGCTGTATTTGAATCCAAGTGGATACATTATTATGCGCTACTATTTTTGAGTAAGATATATAATAGTCCATGTTCCATTACTCCACGTATGAATATGTGCCTCAGAAGTAGCAAAATAGATTTTTGGATATATTACAACAGAGTAAATAGGTTTATAAACTGCCATTAATACTTAATACCACGTTGTGTTTAAAACACGTGTCAGTATAAACGCTCCGATTAGAATTAACAGAAATTCTGCCGGTACCAATTGAAGCTATACGTTTAGTTGTAGTTTCCTCCTTGGATAGTAAGCGAGACTTTTCTAATACTTCTGCTAGTTCCAAGAACGGCCGGGTCTACGTCCCGGAAAAACTCGACGAGAAAGATCCGTATAACATTTCCCAAAGGAACTTCACAAGCAGGTCCTTGCGGGTTACTACAACAACAACACATCTGCTATTCTTTGAGGCATAGCACCCAGTTGTGAAATGGAATTTCACATCGAATTAAAGTAATGATTACAAACATTCTACCTACGTACCTTTAGATTTTCACCACAATCACCATGATACTCTCATTAAAGAAGCCAACGTGCATTAGTCAGGACAACAGATTTACATCTCTGGTCGAATATTACAAGTGAAACTCACTCACTATCAATTATACTTCAAACAGTATCGGGTGGGTGCCTACAGGATTTTGTTTGTCCTTACGATAAGCATACCTTATCGTAAGAGTATTCTTGCGGAAATAATCTAAACAGTATTTGGTCGTAATGCGCAAGATTTCCAATATTTTTCCTTATATCCTTATAAAAAATTATCAAATATTATGATGAAAATTAAGATTATTGAGAAATCTTACAAATAAGGTTATTTCCCCAACTTCCCCAACGTTTTTCTGTTATTTTACGACTTTAGCGATTTTAGACATACGTAAATTAACTTTATCAGAAACCATATAAAGTTTTATCGGTAAAGCAAGAGTAATCGATTGATTATATCTGTCTGTCATATGTGAACTTCTCTTAGGTTTTGAGCCGAGGGAAGATTATATTACACGGAAATTTTTTTCCTGAATTCGAGAAGATGAAATTAACAAATATGTTAAGCATAAAACTACACCTGTCTGTAATGTGGAAGCCTATCTCTCGGATTTTGATCCAAGGGAATAACATATTGAGCAGGCAGATTAATTTTTTTAATACAGGGAGATAAATTTAACAAATATGTTAAAACATAAAATTTCATATGATATATCATTGATAAGTGTTGATAAGTTAGATTGTCTTTACAAACAAAGAAAGTAGATGCCTTTCTTGGCAAAACAGATGTTGGCAGATTATCTGATGAATCACCATGTTACCATGTGTTACGTTCTCAATAATATGAGTTTCCCTATGAAGACTTAATGTTGTCTCTGAATATAACACTTCTACTAATATTTTATTATGATCTTATGGATAAATAACTAGAATAGGAGGATAATGCTATACAAGCAGATTGTACCCTTTGTGACAACAAAATTTTAGCGCAACCCATGTTGATTTCTATAAGAAGAACTGAGTATCTTGGTGTTAGGAATGATTATCTTTTTCCAAGTAACGTCTCTGTTGGGAATAATTGAGTTTTATATCTAGACGAGTGACATTGGAACTTATACCTGTAATACCTGTATTAGGAGTAAGTCCAGTTTTGGGACAAATTATTAATATAAGTTCAGATTTCTTTACACTAAGAACTGATAATTTTTTAATATTCACATGTAACTTTGCGAATAGTTTTTATTCGATACTTCAAAGTACTGATGCACTCTGATAATTTTTTTATTTTAACATTTTGTAATTTCTTTATTATTTTGAAATATGAACATAACTCTGAGATCCACTTATCTATTGCTAGTTCTGTTACCATATATCGGTTAAATGTAAAATTTATGTATTAAATCATCCCATATATTTTTTAGCTGAACATATGAGACATCGTATGCCAAAGAACGAACAAGATCAATCTTATTTCTTTACACAGCAAAGTCAAGATTGTGAGAAGACAGTTGTTGAACCTGATCTAACAAATGGTTTGATACGTCGCATGCATGATAGTGACGAAGAGTTCGATGAAGATGATGTTGAAGATGAGGATGATGATATACCAGAAACTCCACCAGCGGCACACTCACAATCAATAGTCACAAATCCAATTAAAACGGAAGAAACACGTTCACTTCTCAAGACAACAACAAAAAATATGCTTAAAACGCATGTCGATGATATCGAAAAAGAAGCAGAAGATCTATCAAAGAAATCTACAGATAAAACTAAAAGTATAACAACATCTAACTTATCCTTACCGGCCGTCAATGCATCGTCAACACCTTTAACAGTAAATACCTCATTGCCTACACAACAGCATAAAATACGTTCAGTCTCACCACCGCCTTTATATAACAAAGCGCATCATCCACAATCTGCAGTAACACTAACAACCACTGTTCTAAATAAGGAACGTGATGATTTTACACTTAACTCCAATACTTGTCTGCATGGTAGTCATGAGCATCTTAATTTCACTAAACATTCTTATTCCAACGGTTTAATACCTTCATTGAAATTAAAACGACCACGTCTATCCGAGGACAGTAATTTCAATGGCTCATCTACTATGGATAACTCACCTCCATTAGTACCCGAAGATGACGATTATCACTATTTACTTAGTTTATATCCTTATATGAAACAGCTCTCTGCCGCACAAAAGTTGCGGACACGCACTAAAATACAGAAACTCATCTTCAAGGAGTTATACAAAGAGGACTTGGAGGAATCGAAGTGAGGGATTAAAAGTGAATTGATGAGTTCATAAATATTTGTAAAATATTTTTATGAAAATTATATATATATAATATTAATATTATTTTTAGAATAGTTTTAATAGACTGTGAATACTTGTATTGATATTTTTTTATTTTAAGAATCTTGTTGCATTAAATCGAAAAAGAAAATATAAAATGATTTTTTTTTAAGTATAACTTAAAAATTTTTTATACTTACGTGTAAAATCAAAATGTTTATAGTTTATAAAAGTAAAAAATAAATTATATATATATATAAATATGTATATGCTGAAAAAAAATATATGTTCCGTTTTTATTAAAAACTATTGTGTTATGGGTTTAAATTTTAAATTAGAAAAATAATTCTGTTCATAAATGATATGTCAGTAAATAATGAAATATGTAATAATACTGTGATGCTTATGGCAAATCTGAGTCCTTGATACCATTAGCACGCGGTATCACTATATTGTCAAAACAACATCATCGAAAAAAGGACGTTTAGTTAGGATATACACTCGGCAAATCGATAAGCGATATAACATATACAGTACTGAAATAAAATCTACTAAAACCATGAACGACACAGAAAAACGATTATTCGGAAGTATAATTAATAGAGAAACGAGAAAAAGAAAAAATTCGACTGCCTTGTGGGTTTCACTTTAGGGCTTGCTTCGCGATGCAGGAATTCGGCTTGCGTAACGTATGTCCGAACCATTGCCATTTTCGTTTCTTGATTTCACTCTCGACATTTTGTATGTTTTACGTTCTGGCCACCATATTTTAAAGATGCGTCTTTAGACATTTGTTTATGAAAACTTGTATTCGCGAATTGATGGATCTAGTAAACTTTCATGTTTCACACCCAGACAGATGTACTTAACATATTCTTAAGCGAACATTCATCATTACCTAAATTTAGTCCAAAATTTAGAGTCCAAAAAATTCAAAAGTCCAAATAATCCAAGAGTCCAAAAAGCTTAAGTTGTTCCAAATTATGACCAAAAATTTCATTTTAGTAAAACTGCTCACTCAAGGATGATGTTCGTTAAGATTGTTTTTTATTATGTTTCCTATATATTAATATTATTAATGCACAGACCAAATAATCACGAAAAATGTACAGTATTATCTATTATGTTCTCAGCTATTTATCAAAACTCAAGAACCAGGAATATTAATCAAAAATAAAAAAAAAACTTATTTTTTTATAATGATGAATTCTATAGTAGAGATGGATCAAAATTATTATGAAATATGGACAATTGAAGGTTATGTTCTTAGATATTCATCAAAACTCAAGATCCAAGAGTATTAACCTAAAATGATAAAAAAAGCAAAAGTTATTCATTTATGTTAATGAATTCCGTAGATTAGATGAATCAAAATTAGTGTGGAATATAGACAATTGAAGATTATATATTCAGCTATTTATCAAAACTCAAGATCCAAGCAAATAAACCTAGAGTTATAAAAAAAGCAAAAGCAAAAACATGTATCAAAATTAGTGCGAAATATGGACTATTCAATAGTTTCTGGTTTAATAAATACTATAAATACAGCTAAAATACAAGATCCAAGCATATAAACCTACTATCCAAAATTTTTTGGTTTAATAAATACTAAGTTGCTATTTATTGGATTACAAAATACTATCTAAAGATTTTTTTCAAACTTGGTGATTATGTATCGAAAAATTGAAGAAAAGGGAACATAGCTTAAAAAATCAATGAAAATGCACAATAAAAAGTGTGATTACTACGGAATTTGAGATGTAACTTTTTTTACTTTAATATAAAACTTAAATATTATTAATTAAATTTTATTTTAATTTAAATAATATTTTAGGTGAAGTATACGTTTTGGATGATGGAGGTGAAGTAGATTTGGACTTAGGAAATTATGAACGTTTTCTTGATATAACCTTGCACAGAGACAATAATATAACAACTGGTAAAATCTATAAGTTAGTTATTGAAAAGGAGCGAACGGGTGAATATTTGGGAAAAACAGTACAAGGTTTGTATTTGCAATAACGTAAATTCAATATATTCCGGTTGTAATCCACTAATTACTATCTTTTCATAGTTGTGCCACACATAACTGATGCCATACAAGAATGGGTAGAACGTGTGGCTGAGAATCCAGTGCATGGAACATCAAAACCCGATGTGTGTGTAGTAGAATTGGGTGGCACGATCGGTGATATAGAAGGCATGCCTTTTGTAGAAGCTTTTCGACAATTTCAGTTTCGTGTTAAGAGAGAAAATTTTTGTGTTGCTCATGTATCATTGGTGCCATCACCACGTTCTACTGGTGAACCGAAAACTAAACCTACACAAAGTTCTGTAAGAGAATTACGTGGTTTTGGATTGAGTCCAGATTTAATTGTATGTCGTTCGGAGAAACCAATTGGTTTGGAAGTCAAAGAGAAAATTAGTAATTTTTGTCATGTAGCACCTGGACAAGTCATATGCATACATGATTTAAGTTCAATTTACCATGTACCGCTGTTAATGGAACAAAATGGTGTAATTGAGTTCTTGAATGAACGTTTACAGTTAAATATACAACCCAGAAAACGAGAGAAGTAATTAATATTTTTTTTCGATTTAAATACAATAATTTAATATGATTTTCATTTTAAATTAGATGTTTACAACAATGGAAGGATCTAGCACATCGTTCAGAAACTTTGAGAAAAGAAGTTGTTATAGCTGTTGTAGGGAAATACACAAAATTGGAAGATTCATATGCCTCTGTAGTCAAATCTCTACAACATGCTTCACTTGCTGCTGGTTACAAATTAAATTTAAAATTCATTGAAGCCTGTCATCTTGAGCAAGCCACACGTGATAATGCACCCTCAAAGTATCATGAAGCTTGGCATTTGCTGGTCAATTGTGATGGTGTATTGGTACCAGGTGGTTTTGGTTCACGTGGAATGGAGGGAAAAATTATTGCTTGTCATTTCTGTCGCAAAAAGAAAATTCCCTTCCTTGGCATCTGCTTAGGTCTACAAGCAGCTGTAATAGAGTATGCACGAAATGTTTTGAATCTTAAAGATGCAAACACTACAGAGAATGACACATCTACAGCTAATCCTGTTGTTATTGATATGCCTGAACATCATACCGGTATTATGGGTGGTACAATGAGGTTAGGCAAACGCACAACATATTTCTCCGATGAGTACAGTACTATTAAGCAGTTATATGGAAATCCAAAAACAATTGATGAACGCCATCGACATCGGTATGAGGTTAATCCAGATTATGTGCCTCAATTGGAGAAACATGGCATGAAATTTGTTGGTTATGATGAAAGTAAGAGGCGTATGGAAATAATTGAACTTAAAGACCATCCATATTACGTTGCCACACAATACCATCCAGAATATTTGTCACGTCCATTAAAACCGTCACCACCTTTCTTGGGATTCATTTTAGCATCTGTTAAACGTTTAAATAATTATATCGCACGTGGTTGCCGTCTATCACCTAGACAATTATCAGATGCTTCCTCAGATGAAGAGGAAGTGAACGTTGGTAATATTTTCAAAAATTTGAAAATAAATGGCAAATTGTCTCCAGTAACTATACCCAATAATTTACAATTAAATGGACACATTTCTAGCGGTGCCAGCACGAGTGCATCAGATTCCGATTGCAATACTACTACAGTACATCTAAATGGCCATATTGAAAATGGATATGTTGAAATTGGTGCTTTAAATAAGGATATCACTAGCGTATCAATGTTAAGTTAAGCAAGTAAATTTAAGTTATTGAAAAGTTAGGAATGAATATAAAAATTATTAGTTAGGCGTAACGTCGAGGAAAGTTTTTAGGTTAACTTTGTGCTAATAATTGGTAAAATTAAATTGAATTTACATATTATATTATTAATTATTCAAATGTTTGATGTTTTATTTATGTATAGGGAACATATTCTCTACGTTTTCTTCTTTTTTGTTGCATTATATATGTTAGATGAGACCAAGTGGAGCATCGGTCAAATATATGTTTAGATTTAGTATTACTTACATGGCAATATTAATCGAATTCACTATCTATAAATGATAACTGATATGTTAAACTTTTATTCGACATTTTTGATGTGCTTGATTTTCCTTTCTTAACATCTTTTAATGCAAAAAAAAATTTAAATTTATATTCTACGAATACACTTGAATTAAAAAAAATTTTATCTTAACAATATCTGCACTGTGAATGCTGGTTCTTATTATATTCTACGAATAAAAATAAAATATGAAAGTTTTCATTCTGAAAATTTGCCACTTACTATATATTGATCTTAATTATTTGTCATTTGTATATTAATTGCAATTATAAATGCTAAACAATTAGTGCATTAATAATTAATAGTATACCACTATATTCCATTTAAAATAACCTACATAATCTCTTCAAGCTTTCTTGTGATAAGCTTTAGCTACCACCGATTTTTAAATATTGGAACAATATGTAATCTATGCTACATGCAGTTAAATGTATTCCTCCCTGAGATATCGCATTGCAGGCTCAAATATTATTTGGGGTTTTCACGATCATCTAGATTGTGTAGAGTGGCTGTAGAGTGCCTTGCACTACTGCTTTCTTACTTGGTTATCTAATTCGTTACTCGATACTGTGAATACCCTTAAAATAATTCTAAAATATCAGGCAAACATAAAACCTACATTCTAACCACACTTATATGAGGTAAAACAATTCAATTAATTAATACCACAAAAGCACATTAGTTAATAATAAATTATATGTATAATCTTTATTATTGTAATTTATTTTACTTAATATTTATTAATTATTATATAAAAATGTAAACATAAAATTGAATAACTTACTTTACACTTCCATTTCATTCATTTAAATAATTTTCAATTAAAGAATATTTTTTCTAATGCATATATATTTCTTCATTCTTCACTATTATATTTATATAAATACTCATTCATAATGTATAATATATTTATTATTATTTTAAAAGTAATTTACAAAATAATCTACCCATTTGTTTCAAATTGTATAAATTATTAAATAAAATTTGTTTATATTCAAATAATAGTTAAGATTTGTCAAACAACGAAACTCACTTACACCCAATTTTTGTTTTTATTATATTATTTTTAATATAATAATATATCATTACATATTAATTATTTGAATTATTGCTATTGAATTATTGCTATTGAAATATAAATTTGATCATTTCTGTCTTCGAAACTAGTTTAACTATAATTATAATTATTATTTAAAAAAAAAATATATTTTTATATAAATTATATACATATAAATTATTAAAATTTGTATTCTATATAATAATAATGCAGCTTAGTTATAACGTATATGAAATAAATCTGATTTAAATAATTATGTAAAATTATTTTCAAATATTTTATTTTATTTTTATTTAATTTTTTTTTAATTAGGAAGTTACAGAGATTGGTAAAAATAAAAAAAAATAGTTAAGAAAAATTTTTACGCATTTATTATTTTTTATATAAATATATCATCTTAAATATGAATAATTTTTAAAATTTTATTAAAATAATTTAAAGTATTCTGCAAATCCGATTATAAAATATGTATATATATGGTATCATATATATGTATATGTATATATATATGGGTGTAAATATATGATATATATAGATATGTATATATATAAATTTTATTAAAATAAATTAAGATATCCTGGAAATGAAATTATAAAATATATATATACATATATGTATACATAAAATACCTAGATTAATAAATAGGTGATTAAAGAGAACTACACAGATGATTGGGAATAATATAGTATTTCATGAAATTGTTAGTCGTCTTTGTCTCTTTAATTGCGCTTTAAGAAAGTCTTTGATACAAAAATTTAAAATAAGAGCAGGAACTTCAGGCACATTTTTTTAGCTTCAATAACGTTTGGAAGCAACATTTTTAAACCTATGAACTGGAATTTTTCTAAACCTTATTAAATCCGCTGATTCAAAATGCCATATACTCATTTTTTTGGAAATAGCAAAGAAGCTGCGAATCCAAGTTCCCGTTTGCCAATTTGATAAAGGATTTTTTTCAGTAATTTTCAATATTTTGCGCAAATTTTCACACTATGCTACACCTTCTGATCAAAAAAGAACGAGAGGCCTATTTCCAATGGATAAGCGCGGGAATTCAAAAAATTAAAATTAAAGTTCTTTTTTGATCACAAGGTATACTGGTATGGCTAATTTCTCGAGATAGAGAGAATTGGGTCATAAAAGGAAGGAGAAAGTGCTAGTAATCTCATCTGTCACTGGCCGACACTCGTTAAAAAGCTCATGTCCGCTTGTAGGACTTCCTCAAATATCTGTCCAACATCATTAATTCAGATATCAAAGACATTACTTGTTTTATAAAAGAGAAGTATTGTGAGACCTGCAATATTATTCTAAAGGCATATACCTTAATGCACACTGGTCTAAATCTGCAAATCAGATGTGTCTAAATCAGATGTGTCTAAATCAGATGTGTCTAAATCAGATGTGTTGGAGCAAAACGGGTTTGTTACGAGATATCTGCAGTTTTTTGACTAAAGGTCGTATTTTTCGGATATTTTAAATATTCTTTTCCAACACCTTAAATAGTACAGCTTAGTTTTCAAGATATGGATATTTGTCGTTTGTTTATCCCATACATAAATTGCATAAACTAGTTGACGCTAGATCTATTTATCTATTTAATCAATGTAAAAATATACAATTTTAAAGCTCAAAATCTCGAGAAGTTTTCAAAAAAAATAATAGTTTCTTTTATTTTTATTTAGATAAAATGAAATATTAAAACCTATCTATATCATTTTTTTAAAAAATCATTCATCATTATTATTTGCTATTTCAGTTGAGGAAAATAAAGTTATTTTTGCAATTTTTCAGTCGGTCTGAGATATAATGATTTTCAAAACAGTGAAAAAAAAAAACAAAATATATTGCAATACAGATTTTATTATGTAATTCGATACGATTCAATAGCCATTCTTAAGAAATGGACTTTAATAGCCAGTGGTATTGCCAGGATTGTGCCAAGGGAGTTTATACTAGAAAATAATCTTTTAGCAGTTTTTTACAGTGTATTTTATGTAGATTATATTGTTAAGTAGGTATTTATCTCCTAGCACACCTGACAATTACTGTTACTGTTATTGTTCAGATTATACACTTAAACCGAATGTTTTCCCATATAATAAATGTCAAAATTAAACCACTTTGAATAAATTGGCATCTAATACACATCATATTGGTACTATTGTTAATTATCACCATTTTAGTACAGTTTATAACAAAAATAAACCAACAACAAAGCTTAATACAAATGTCTACGAAAACTAAATAAAAACTAGAAACGACAATGTGAACACAACTTTATATAAGTTTTGTTGCTTTAAGATAGTATAACAGTTTAATATGCTAAATGCAATTTGTTCTACTAATACTAAAATTTTATTGAGACCAAACCTTTATTTTCAAATATTGTGAATATTCCATATAAACTTGGTGGATAGTATTATTTTTGTGTCTATGATTTACTTTATCTATGGCACTTATCTATTATAGCACCGTTATTTTTATAAAGGAATTGGTTTTTGTCTAGAATAATATGAACTTATTGAGAGGTCGTTGTGAGCAGTAGTAGGTAAATTAAAAAAAAAGTTTACTGAAAATATATGATAGTTCAAGTGCTATGGAACTTCACAAAATTCTTCATTTATATAAGATTTATGACACTGAGTTGTTTTAAATGACACCAATTCCAAAACTTTTATTTTACATATATTTACCAATACTATTTACTATTTAAAATAAAAAGATATGTGAGTAAAATTTCAAGTACTACAACTATCACTACTGGAGTTGCAGATCTATTTATGCAGTAACTTTTATTGAATCCGTTGTTATTGGTAAATGATGTATGAAATAAAAATGTTGTATCAATTTAGTGCTTTAATTGCAGAAGTGGTCCTGTTAATTGGCCCTCTCGTTCGTTTTGGTTTATTGCGACAAACCAGAAACTCTTAAAGCATTGGCGCCATACGGCCATACTATTTTAAAAAAATAGTCAAAAATCAGATTATAATAAAATTAATTCATTCCGACAATAATTCTGTCTTGTATTATCATTTTAAGTTCTTACACAGCTAAAAAAATATCCGATACATTAAAGATTTAAAATAATAAGAACAAATAACAATTAAATACAGAGTGAAGTGCAATTTTGACAGTTTAAATTAAGGTCGTGTGCGAGTTAGGCTAAGTTGCGTTCTAAATGAGGAAAATTCTAAGTTGTGCCGATAATGTAGTGATGTGTCGATACGTGTTGATAAATGGCTAAATGTGTGCAGTGCAAAAAATCCCAAAAAATCTCCCATTTGGTTTAGCATCAACTTAGCCTAACTCGCACACGTCCTAAGTACTTTATACTATTAAGTAATCCCAAACAAATTCAGATTTTTGGAGCACATATTGATAAATCAAACTGGTTTTAAAATATTATTAAACCGAATATTGTTAATTTGTCGGATAATCTTTTTTCATTTTTAGATCAGACCTATATAATCATAGGAAACCTACATTTAGATCGGAAATTTCGATTATAGCAGTTACTTACAGAACTGAAACTGCCTGAGGGCAATAGCTATCAGTTGGTTCAATGACTGAACTGTATATTAGACATATCAAAACATCCCATTCTGTTTCAATTTATATATAGTTACCACATTTATATATAGTTTATAAACTGATGAACACCACAACTTCTTGATTTGTTAAACAATCTTGAGCATTTTTCATAAGTGTTTACTTAGTCTGGCAAGCTGCTGGTAGTAAACTTAACTTAATTACAATGTACAGGATATCATCCTTAACATCAATCCCGCTTTTAAAACAGTGCTTGGAATATTTCTTTGATTCTACAATATAATGTTCCACACGCCTTGGTTAACATGTTTAAAGATTTATCACACAGTAACAATTTTTTAAAAAATCAAATGATTTTATTTGGGTTCCTTATGGATTTGTTATGTAAATTTTTGAACATGTTTGGGCCCAAATTTGGAGAGGCTCCGGTAAGTTGATTGGGTTCAAACTGCATTCAAAAGAAAGGCTATATCAAAAACTATATCTAAAGAAAATTTCAATATCTCTACTGGTTCAGAAAATACCAAATTCGGATCGTGTGTTTTGGCACACTGTACATTGTAACATAAAGACTCTGCACCATCCAAATCAAATATTATTTTAAATGATATGATAAATAAATGATATGATTGTTCAAAGACTGATTATATTGTCAACCCTGACTCCCAGGATAACATAAACGCATTGTTCAAAACAATTGTTAAATTTAATGAATTACGCTTCGAGACCCATAGTACTTCTTAAATCCGGCCCCAGCGAATGCTAGCTTTTTGAAGACAACAAAAGGATACTCCAGGAAAAGAACTGAACTGGCACGATAAATTGATTGCTGAAGTGGAGAATTATTTTAAAAGCAAAATCAAATTGTTCTTCAAAAAAGTCATCGAAAAGTTGGGTAACGTATTAGCATACATGTTTTACTCTTAAAAGAAAGTATAATGACGAATAAAGACAAATTCCTAAACAAGAAATTTGATTTTCTGAGATAAACTCGATTTATCTTCAGCGACTTATCAGCTTTACCTGTTAATACTCGTATTATCTCGCTTCCTACTTTCAAAGCATGTATTGATATAAGTAATATCATTACTTTTTTTTTCTATATAATATACTCAAATCTTAGATAATTTTTTAAATATCGGTATAAGAATAAATTGAATCATATGGATATCAAAGTGAGCATTTAGTCTGTTTACAATTTGTGCATACCTGATTCCTCCTCAAAAGAGTTTTCTCTCACATCGTATGCTCCGAGTTGAACGTAAACTATATTGAAAGGCTATTTGAATATTGGACAGCTGATCTACAGCCAGATAATTAGATCAGCACTACTTTATAAGTGTGTCGCGTATAGCAAAGCTGCCGACTCTACTATTCAAAAGCTGCAAGTTGCTCAAAGTTAGGCTCTCCGAAGACTCTTCAAAAAGCCTTTGTACATCCGCACGAATGACATGCTAAGAGAGCTTAAAATAGATCCGGTCAAAAACTAGATAATGAAGAGATCCCTGAAACTATATGCGAAAACCGACAGCCTTACCACTATCTAATCTCAAACTAATCACTAACCATACGGGGCGGTACGCAGATGTTAGATCAGTTATCGAATAATCACGAAGTTTAGGAAACATACACAAATTAGTAAGTTAAATGGATGGGGCTCTGCAGAAACCCCCCAGCTATCAAAGAGTAAAAGTGCCCAGATGCACTAACTCGGCAAAGGCTCAACATTAGATAGTTTTAGGCAAAATAAACTTTGGACAACTTTGGCCAATTACCTCTGGGAGTATAATTTGTTTGAAAGCAAAAATATAGATTTTTATAAGATATTACAGATAAAAATTTTTCTACAATATTTAAGTATGCTTATTTTTAATAAAGTGTATAAAATTTGTATATTTATAAAAATATCATTTATTATTTTCTTTTCGATTTATAAATTTAACTTAAATGCAATGTTTAAATAATTTTAGATTACTAATAAGTTTTTAAAAAAAAGTTTGTTTTCGATTATAATAATAAGTTTTACTTAGTAGGCAGAATAGGTTTTCGAATATTAATTTCGAATATTGAAAATATTCCTTTCAGGAGTTTTTTAAAAAAAACGAGTTCAGTACTTTTACTTTAACATTGTTTAGTCATTATAATTTTTAGTGAATTATCAAAACAACTAATCGTCATTGTTTCATTTAAGAATACACTGAATTGCTTTTAGGAACAAATGACAAATTATCAATGACTAGTTTCATCTCAGTTACACAATTTTAAAATAATATTTGACTAATAAAACTTATGTCAAAAATACACAATTTAAGTACTTAAGAAAATAGGTACTTCACATTTAATAAAATAATAATAAAATTGACTTAATCCTATAGACAGACACTTTAGCAGAGAGATCCTCGATGTTGCATATGATGCCGGCGATGTTCGCAGTGATTACGGTCATTTGTCAATGATGATGAGGATGACGAGCGATGTATTTGTGGAAAAGCTTCCATAGCAGTATTACCAACAGCTCTTGAACGTAGCATATTATTACGACTTACTTCCCGGTATAGATCTACACGTGGGCGTGAGTTGCGTCGCACTGGGGTGGGAGCATTGCTAAAACCAATTTGCAAAGATAAACGTTTTTGTGACAGAGTGGCTAAATGTTCTGGCGAGAGTTCGATGACTTGACCAGAGCCTTGTGGCACATTTAATAAACTAGCAGCTAAGTTATTTGCCGATAATATGTTACTAGAATTATTAGCTCCACCGCAGGTACAAGTAGAGTTGATGGATATGTTATCACCAGCGTTATCGACATTGTCCACATTAAAAATTTGACCTTCCTTTGCATCATTTTCGAAAATTTTAATAATCGGTATTTGTGGTGTCAGTATGATACCAGCTTTACGGAATTCTTCTAATGCTGCATCATAGGTTGGTAAGCCAGAAACAATGGTATAGGATGGCAACGACTCAACTTCAAAGTCAGGACCATAGTGGCGGCATATTTCAACGGGTTCATTAGGATTTGTGCGATCTGTAATTAAAGAGATTATTGTGATTATTATTAATTTAAAATTTATTAATAAATTTAAATGATTGTGTGTATTTACTTAATAACAGTTTGTATGAATTGAACGTCATTATTTCAAATTTTAAAGAAAATTTCCACACCATACCAATTGTAAACATGAAAAGCTAATCAATATTAATGAATCCAATTGAAGACCCTTTCTTTATAATTGCACTAAAGTAAATATAATTTGCATTAATTTAAAATCACGCCTTCTACACACCTCATACCCTTTCCTCTAATGAAACTCAATAATTACGCTCCAAAACACAAAGTGCTCTCTGTCTGCGTTTTGTCTGCGTGTATGTCATACAATCTGTTTGTTTTCAGACTTTCCATTAAATTTAAAGCTACCCCATAATTAACAGAAGTCAATTGAAAATTATGAAAGGCTTAAAAAGATTGCTGGTGAGCCTGAGGGAATGGGAGACGTGGTAGATTGTGAGGAAATTGTCGTTTTACGGCACATAAAATGTTTAATACAATTTTAGTGCAAACGTATCTTTCGTTTAAACTAAAGTTATGGTACGAAGTTCGAAAAAACATATTTTTCGAAATTCGAAAATTTTTGAAATTCGAAAAATAATTTTTTTTTAATTAATATTTTTTTTTTCACAAGGTACGCTACATTTTTCAAACTGTCACTTGTGACATTTCACAAGATGCCATTTAAAATGCCTGTCTGGCACTTTTTAGTCTAAAGCCTTATGTTATGGACAAACTTTTTGGGGGAAGGGAGCATACATTTAATGGCAACACGTTTTGTAGCAATTTCATTAAATTGTACCCTCATAATAAATGTCGTAATAAATGTACGTTTTGGGTTATATCATCAGTTATTTTGGACCATGGTTAATGCATAAAGAGATACGAGGATGGGAGATGAAAGTCTAAATTTTCTAAGTTAAGCAAATAAATATAAAAGGGTGTGAATTCAAGCAGACACAATAAGTTTTTAAAAAACAACATCACTGGCATGGGAAGTTTAAATTTACGCACAATACTACAACAAGGGGAATTCCCAAATTTTCTCCACCCACTACTAAAGGTGTAGCTTCCCCAAGAAAGTAAACCATAAACCTGCATGAAACTAATCTTCTGAAACTTCGACTTTGAGCCTCAGTGATTCTTTGCTTTTTACAATTGCACTGTTACGTCATGACAATCATAGAGCCGTAAAAAAGCGAAAAGTATGAGTCATCCACAAAAACTTGGTATTCCCCATTGATGGAGGATTTCCCAAACATAACCTGCAGTTTTTGTCTTGCATACAGCAATGACTTAGATGAGCTGTAGAAGTGCCTGTCAGCCTTTATGGGGGTTGGTACTTTTAGCCGCGCGTTTTAACAACATAAGCCGGCATAACATAAAAAACTTTCTACAAACACCGGAATTCGCTTTTTTGCATCAACAAGGGGGGTGATTTCCACCGTTTATTCGCCACCCAACTTCACTCTTTCTCTACGATTAGGTATGCTACTATTTGGCATATGTTCGTACAGGTTGCATTTTGTATTTTACTTTTGATTACAAAACGTTTGCGTTTAAGTTCTTTTGTATTTTGATTTCATAGTTAGGGAGTGGGGGGTAGAGAGTGTGTAGAAAAATTTCATTAATTTGGTTTATGTAAACAAAAATTTTCTTAAAAAACTACCCCCTCACATTATATGTTTATTACTTTTAGCACATTTCCCTGGGGTTTGTGTAGGAATTGATTTGATAATTCGTTTCATTGTGTCCTTTATGGAAATCCTTCCACATTAACACTGCATTTTGTATTTTTTCAGGCGTAGACACTAACGGTTCCAAAATTAAAGAAAATTCCATTAAATGGACCAATTGAAATTGAAATGAAGGAATTTTGGAAAGAAAAACGAGGTTCAAATAGCAGAAAAAATGTCACAAGTATAAGTGTTTCAATTATTAAAAATAAGCTGGCTTAGACTATATGAAAACTAAAAAAGAGGATCCGAATTCCATTGTAGGATATTAATTTTTTAATCTAAAAAAATTTCAAATAAATTGCATGACATATTAAAAGCATTGTTTTTATTAGGCCTAGTATTAACATCCATTTTGCACGAGAAATTGACATAAAACTCCATATAAATAAATTATTCTAAAACAATATTACAATTTTAGCGGACACGCAAGTTACTATCAAATCCCTGGTAACCGCTACAGCTACATTCTTAACTGTTCGAGAATCCCGGGGTTATCTTAACGGGCTAATTAGGCGTGTCAGTATACAACTCACATGGGTATCTAGACACAGGGACATCTCGGGCAATTACAATGCAGTTGAACATGCCAACATATGAATATTGGTATCCTACTTGCAAACGTCAAGCTGACAATTAAGCAAAAATATATAACTATAGCTAAAAAAAACTACTAATTTAACTACACAAGAATCTTCTAAGCACCTGCTTTTCAATTTTAAGAAACCACTGCGTACTAGGAACATAAATCATGAGTTAGATCTAACCTATAATGATATTTGTTGTGGTTGAGGCTCTAAAGATGCGAAGGAATCCATGTTCCATATTCTTTATCAATGCCCATATTTGGCCAAAACTATATTAAAAATATTTATGGCATCTTTTCTTACCGATCTGAGAAGGCTGTCATCACAATTTCTTATTATTTATTATAAAAGGTGGTAGGGATCTATAATTTTGCCTCAGTAATTAAGTTTCAGCTAAGTTTGCTTTTACACTTTTAGTTTAAATTTTAGACAATATGGATCTTTATCAATTATATTGTTGTTGTTGTTGTGGTAACCTGTGAAGATCTATATACTAGATGATATGAAAGGAAATATGATATGTATACAGAGGTTAGGATGCGGTTAGGTGAAGGAAGTTTGAAAGGGACGAGAATTTTTTGAAAATACGATTAGGGATGAGGTCAGGTGAGATTTTAATTGAAAGTAACCTAGGACAAGGTTGAGAAATCTTTACGGTTACACAATCTGGCTTTACTCCACTTTAATTTTCGAAAGCGTCACTGAGTTCTGTGCTAGAATATTCCACCACCAAGAGTGTTCTAACTACACTCGCAAATTAAATTATCAAATGCCTTCAAAAAGTCAAAATTTAGGGTCTATAATAATACATATGATGCTCCGGCCAAAAGCCAAATTGATTTTATTTGTCAACTTTATAAAGTGTCTCTTCAACCCTATTCAAGATAATTAACAATATGTATATAATGAAATAAAATAGTATATATTAGGCACCGAAAATAGTTAAAAAAATAAAAAATTGAAACCCTCGATAGTTTTTACTCAACCTCTAAATATATTCAATTAGTTTAAAGAGGAACCTAAGTATGACATTCATTTCATGACTATATTCAAAACTATATGTCAAACGTGGATTATTTAATCATCAATTAAATTTAGAAATGTCCTAAACTTGAAACCTCATTCAAATTAATTGAGCTGAACTGACATCAATTGAAACTAAAATATAAAAAAAAAAAACTATATGAACAAAAAGGTTTCCTGACAAAAAAGTGAGACCCGAATTTCATTTAAATGAAAGCTTTTAATACAAGGACACACTTAATTGTCAAAGTAATTGACACATGCTAAGTTGGAAGTTCAACTAAAAAGTGGCTTAGAAATTGACAACATAAAACACTTCGTTTGTTTATTTTATGTCATCGCACGAGCACATCCTTTTCCATCAATCCAATGTCAATGAGTGAAAAAAAGGATGCTGGTTAAATTTTAACATGGAATGTGTGAAGACGGAGGCAGGAGCATGTCAATTTTATTTTTACTTTCATTGTAACTACATCAACAGAAACCAACTTAACCGAGTGCCTGAATGGCTCCAACGAGAAAAAAGGATATATTCCCCACCAGAAAGTCTTTTATATTGCGAATAATTTCATAGGAAAATAAAAAGGGAATGTTTTCGCAAAATATTAAGCAAAACAGTAAAAACCGCAGCAAACTGTTTTACAGACTCCAAGTTAGGATATTTTGTTTCGGTTTTTTTTTGCAGTCCTTAGTCCTTAGCCCTTCGCTAACTCACTTCGCTTCACGTCACTGCTCCCCACAACAAGAAGTCAAATGACGTACTTTATAACAAACCTTGTCGCTTGTGTTCGTCATTTATACCCAAAAATACTTTATTTTTTTTTTTATTTTTTGGGGAGAAAATTGCAAGGATACGCTGTCAACAAATACAAACGACCTTGTGTATATGCGCCACATAAGACACAAGCAAACACATTCCGAGATGAACTCAGGACTCACGTACATGGCGAAGGCATAAATTTGTTACCAAATTGCAGTCAAAAAATCTCCCTAAACGTACTTTAAAGCCGACAGGGACTTACATACCAGTGGAGTCAGCTTAGTTCCACCAACTGATAAGCACAGAAACGATTTCTTCCTTCCACGGAAAGAATTCGTTTTTATTTTTTTACGAAGTTCTCTTTTTGTGGAGCTCATAATTTTTTTTTTCTTCGTAACCGATGTTTGGGTACTATCCACATTATTGCAATGACTGGCGTACACAATTTCATCGTCGTTGCAATTTCATCTGTGATAAAACATCAGCTTTCAAGAGGCTAATTTCTCCCTTAAGGATATTTGTGTATTTGGTTTAGTTTTTTTTTCTTCTTTGTTGTTCTTGTTGTTGTTGTTTTTTCTGAACAGTGGATTTTAGTCGTGCACCATATTGGGGCTCTATTCCAAAAGCTACTGGAATCATTTTCATGATATTTTGAATTTTGTGCCATAAGCCGACTTAAAATGTGTGTGCGTTGTTCCAGAGACTTGCGGTAATCTATGAATGTAATATGTATGAATATATGTATGTATGTATGCGTACATATGTATGTGTTGTGTTTTGTCAATGCTCAAATATCACTTGTAGTACTTCAAGTTCATTATGTATTTCTATAATAGGATGAGAAAGTATAAGGATATAAGGTTTTCGTTCATTGTTACTGTTGTGACAGTGTGTTTGAGGTAATTAAGTATTGTTGTTCTTTGAGGTTTAAGAGTGCCTATTCTGCTCTCTATGGTTATGAAAATAAAAAAGAACAGTTATGGGAGATATTAAATACATCTGATTTAATTTTTACCCGTTAGTTATGCTCCTAATAAATTCGAGAAAACAAGAATCCGATATTGGAGAAAAATTGTAATGTTAATATTATATGTGAATTAAGGTAATTAAGCATTTTATAGAATAATTTAAAAAAGTCGAGAAAAAAAAGTAGTTTTAGAATTGATAAAGTCAAAATTATATTGGGTTGGACAAAAAATATTCGGCGTTTTTAGTTAAAAGTGAAAATTTCGTCATTTTATAGGATAATTAAAAAAAACGAGAAAAAGAAATGATTTGGGAATTGATAAAATCAAAATTATGTTGGGTTGGACAAACAATATTTGGCGTTTTTAATTAAAAGTACATCTCACTTTTTCTCTTCAGTTTCAAAAACAAATTTATTAGTTCATATACATACATGGGGCAACTTAATCCATATTATTATGAATTAAAGTATTAAGTATTTTATAAGATAATTTAAAAAAAAAGAAAAAAATTAAATAATTTTAGCTTTAATGAAGTCACCATTTTTATTGGGTTGGATAAAAGGCATTCAGCAGTTTTAGTAAAACCGTTTTAAATAAAAAAAAAAAAATTAATTCATATGAGAGAGCAATGTAGTTCATTTTATATGTGAATTAAAATATTAAATATTATATAATATAATTTAGAAAAAAATGAGGAAAACAAATGATTTTAGCATTGATGAAGTATAATTTATGTTGGGTTGGGTAAAAACTATGCGACGTTTTTTGTTAAAACTGAAAACTTCCTATGGTTTTTATATATATTTTTATTATATAGTTACTTAAATATAGCAGACGTTTCGAAGTTTAATTGACTTCTTCCTCGGGGCGGAGTATTATTAGGACTGTTTCTGAAAACAGGTACGACAATTATTTATACTGGAATCTATTTATAAACTTACTTCTAAATCACAACAATAAACAATAAAATAAATAACATACAATTCATAAAGAATATACACTAAAGACTATACAATCAGGATTATGGCTATTGTAATATTAACAGGTATCTCGTACAGATGTCACTATTCTCTCTCTTATTCATGGGTCTCTCTATGTTGTGTAGTATGTAAAGACTCTCTAAAGTTAATCTTTTGTTATGGCTATTCTCGTTATATATTATTGTCCCATATTCTCAGTCTGCTCTATATTTTGTGGTCAAACAATTGTTTCTTTACCTGGCTTAATGTCATTTAGGTGTTGCGTTATTCATAAGCCTAATATCTGTTTTGTTGTTTTAATGTATATTTGATTGCAATATTCAACTTTGCAGTTTACTAGTATACTCATTCAATTTACTATATTCATTTACATAAACCTTTTTTAAGAACAGAACTGTGTAAAATAAATGAACTCATAATCTCAAAAATGTCCCTTTTAATTTCACAAACTAGTTTATTAGTTCACATATCAAGGTCAACGGTTCAAGCTAACTTCTGAAACAATAATAAAAAAATTTTAGAATAACTGCATGACATCACTACGATATAATTTATAAACTAAATCTAAATTATTTAATATACAATATAAACAATTAATTGATCAGAGCTTACTTTTGATGGCATCATATCCATCCAATGGGTGTTGTTTATAATTAAAAGTTTTAGCGAATTATTATCAAGGAATTAAAATATTGATTTGTAATTTGATTAGTATATTGTGTCTTCGGATCAAACACTATAAAAACCGGATATAAGCATTGATAATCACACAGGTAGGGGATTATTTTTCTGAAGGAAGCGAATATATCTATATATTATAGACATCTTATAGACTTTTCATTTGACGTCATGCAGGTATTTGTAGTTAAATAGAGCTTCTCTTATGTAGTAAAAAATTTGGAAATCTTTTTGAAACAATGAGTAAAGTTATTAGTCTTTTAGACGGTATGCTGATGATTCACTACCAGCCGAGAAAGCTTTATGGGGGCTTATATGCTACAGGATAATTCTGTAATAATCCTATAGCATTCGTATGAAAACGAATTAGACAGACAGACTAAGTAGGTATCTTTGATCATCGCAATGACTTAACCTGTTGCAAGAAAGAGTATTTAGACTTTCACTAATTTTTTTTTAGACATGATTTGAGTAGATAACGTTTTTTTTCCTTGATTCAAACCCCTCAACTTTTATATGGCTACAGAATAAGTGAGCAGACATTAGATTAGGTTATTGCCGTTGATCACGTTGCGATTAGTACCTCACTGATTTTTTTGTTTATTAGACAAACTTAAATAAAAAACAATTTTTATATACCTAAAAATAAAATAGACTAATAGAAGCAATGTTTTTCCTCTTGTGTTATACAAAATTTTAATAGATCAATTTTATTTCTATATTTTTTCTATATAGATTATTAACTGATTCTTTCCTTGAGTTAAGACAAATTTTTGCTTTTAGCATTAAAAATGCTTTTAAAAGCTTTTATTGCATTTTTCTTTTCGTAATATCGTTTTAATAAAATTTAGAAAAAATTTTACATTAATTAAAACGAAAAACTAATAACGTAAATGGCTATGAGACCATTTCTAAATAAATGAAACCACATCCATTGCACTATGCCATATGCGTTCATAATTTTTCCTAAAAGTTCTGTTGCTCTCTGCTTCTTCATTTGTTGTGAAAACAATAAAAAAAAAGTTCAGGGAAAGGCCAAACGTTGTCATGTTGTATTTATTACAAAACCGTGGAACCACAAAAAAATTGTGCTAATAACTTTTTTTCAGAATACGGACGTGTTGCCATTAGTTTCCTACATGTTCCTTTTTTTTAGGAAAGTAACTGCAGATGCGAACTTCTCTATAGGTAAAGTCAAGTCTGTAAGTTTTAAATTGACTTCTGCGTATGTCACAGCATTACATAGATCTACACTCATACATACAAAACATATGTACATTAAAAAACCGCAAAAAATTTCAAAATTGCTGCAAACGGAAAAATTGGCGGGTAACCACAAATGCGTTATAAAATGTTCCAATACGAAAATAAAAAAAAAGAAGTTGCAGAAAATAAGTTTAAATATCGTTTTTATACACATTTATAAACTACAAAAAATATAAATTTGTGCATAATATACTTACATATAAACATACATATGTATACGAGTTGAGATATATATAAAAGCAAAAAACAGTTATTCCTAGAATTAATATTTTACTAATTGAAAGAATAGATTAATGGTTACTATTTATTATACTTTTATTTTTATTTATTTTTTCTAACAAGTGAAATAAATATTAAAAATTAATTCTTAATTTAGTTTCCTTTCGTCCATTTCGTTTAATCAACAAAACCACTAAGAGAAACAACAAAAAATTAAAAGACATAGCGTATACGCGACTTATCACGTTAACCACTCTAATACTCTCTCTTATTGCTACGCACAAATGCCAACAAATATATTAATCAACAGTCTTCAGTTGATAGTGTTTATTCGCTCGTGCTATTCTATGTTTTTTTAGAATAAAAAACAGGAGGTTGAGCATTATGTGATCAAGTGTACAATTATGCATTCAAGTTATTTTTTTATATTTAAAAAAATTTATTTTTATTCTCTTCATTGAAAACGTATTTCTTATTTACTTGTTTTACTTATTTACTTGTTATCATATTTATTAACAAGGGTGCAGTTATGCATTTAGTTTATGTTGTAATATTCAATAACAACAAATGATAGTAATATCTTCATTTATAACATATTATAATAGTATCAAATGATATTAATATTTTCATTTATAACATATAATAATATATCATCTGTTATTATTATATATAATATTTTTATATTATATATATTTTTATATATTTTATAAAATAATTTTTATAATTATATTATAAATTATTATATATTATTTATTATTAACATAACTTATTTATTATCATAAATAATAATGATTTTAATAGTAAATATTGTGTTATAATCTGGTATGTTTTGTAATAGTTTAAGCAATACTATATAATGTAAACAAAATTAAGTTAAATATAAACTGTCAATTGTGTCGGTCATATTTAATTCATATTCTTTATTCATTTAAAAAAGAATGACAGTTTACAGTGAGTTCCATAAAATAAAACTACATTATATGTCATTAAAATAATTTAAAATATAATAATAATAATAGTTCCATAACATATGTTCGATAAACTGATAACAAAAACATTGCACTTTGCGATCAACAATAAGTGGTTTGTATTCCACATGCGATCCACTTATATGTATATGCCATTTCATTTAAACACATTTCTACCTACCTCAATAAATAGTTTGCAAAGCCAGCCCGACTTACAGCAGCTATTACACTCACTCTTGCGCGAAGGCATAATAAAGCAAACAGAGAAATGAAGAGCAGATAAATTGAAGATTTGAGTGATTAAAAAGCGGCGTCAGTAGATTTAATAATGTGAGCAGTAGAGTTAGTTATCTGAGAAACTTAGTGAAATAAAAGTGAATTTCAATAAAAATATTCTAAATGCTCTGTATAAAACTTAAATATAATTTAAAAGTATCAAAATTATAATAAATTTGTTTAAAATAAAACAAAAACAATATAAAAAGATCAAAATGAATGCAATATTTTCTCGTGCGCCAATGGAATATAATAATCTAAAAGGCAATGAGGAAGATCTAACAGATTTATCTGATATAGATAGTGACTTAGAAGATGAAGTCGATTTACCTATAAGTAGTGATGAGGAAGCTGTTCTAGAATCGCAGCGCATAAATATATCAGATTTATTTGTACCAAAACCCTTTATTAAAACTCTAAATAGCTTGATCACTTCGAAAGATGGCAGTGTAGCGTCCGTTCAAAACGAAGGTGCAATAAACGATACAAAACAACAACAAGCTAAACAACAAAAGGAGGAGGTAAAAAAACAAAGCAGAAATAAACGTTCTACAGTTAAACGTAAAGCCAAAACAGGAAAAAAAAATATATCTAAAAAACCAAAAACACAACAGAAAGGAAAAAAACAAACACAAAATAAAACAAAAACATCGAATACTCAAAAAAAACCTCCGTCAGATGTTGTTTCCAGTTCTATATGTGGTACTATCTGTGGCTTCCCAAAGGCGCATATTCTCGCTCTTGATTGCAAAAAATGTAATAATATTTTTTATGATATTTACAATTTCTCCAAGCATTTGCTTGACGTTCATGCGATGTTATCAAGTGATGGCTTATCTACGGAGTTGGAGGTTAAGAAGGAAGTTGTTAATCCAGTAGATTTTGGTGCGGATATTTCCGATTTACGACAGTGTGGAGAAGTGCAGATCATAAATGTCACGAAACTTTGCTTTGTATGTGGTTTATGTAAAGAAGCCAAATATGATAATTTGGCATTATTACATTGTCATCTTAACGAAAGACATAAGTTCTTTGTTCCAGTTGTAAATAATTTCAGTAATGCACATAAAGAAGAAATAAAAGACGAGATATGTACTTTGTTAAATCAAGACTCTCCCTTGGAAGTAGAGAAGGAAGTTAGTTGCCTACAAGGTCCAGAGACACTTGTAGGTGCACAACCGCCTCTACCATCAGTACCAATGGTTACCATTCCAAAAACCACAAATTTAGTGGAAGGTTACAATAAAAGTATTACATTGCCCACACCAGCTCCAGATACACCTCCTCCAGAAAATGATGATGATCAAAATGATCGGCCTAGTAAAAAAATTCCAAGCACTAAGCGCGGAGCTAAAAAGGTGAGTTCAATTAGTTAAATTATATATATGTTATAGATAATACTTTTTTTCCTTTAAGGGTGTGGCTAAAAGTTCATCTAACGAACCGGCAGCTAAGAAAATAAAAATGGAACAAAAATCTGTTCCTGTTTCATCGAGAAAATCTGTTAGAAATGTTATTAAAAAATCGGTTGGCATGAAAACATTAGAGGTTTCAGCTGAAAAACCAAAACGGACTATACTCAAAGCCAGAAAATCTGCAACTAATGAGCCAAATTTAAAACAAACTACTTTGTTTGATCTGAAAACTTATACTAAAAGCGGTACCTCTTCTCCAACAATGAAAGAAAAACAAAAAACGTTAGATAAAGAAAATCAACCTCAGTTAAATACAAATAGTTCTTCTAAATTGGAGGAAGACGATGAAAAATCTATATTAAGCGACAAAGAAATGGATGATGATGATCAATCCGATATTTCTAATGATTTAACCCAACAAACATCATCAAATAGACCAAATGATTTAATACAACATTTACCATCACCACCAGAATCGGTTGAAAGTTTTAGATTAGACACATCAGTTGATAATCTAATGGTTCAAAATGATATTAAAGATGAAATGGATACCACTTCAGATGTAGCGAAAGACTCAAAGCAACCTAATAAAAAAAGACGTCCCTGCAATAATGATTGTCTTACTTGTGAATTTTGTCCAAAAACATTTAAGAAAACTTCACGTCTTAATGAGCACAAACGTATACACACCGGTGAAAAACCTTATGTTTGTGATGTTTGCAACAAAGGCTTTCGAATTAAATTTCGGTTAAGAGAGCATAAATTGCGGCACGGTGAAGACAAAGACAAAGCTCACAAATGTCCAATTTGTGGACTTGCCTCAGCACTGAAACAAGATCATACATTGCATATGCGCCATCATGCTGGTGATCGACGACATCAATGCACAGTGTGCTCTAAAGCATTTGTGCGTAGTACTGATTTAAAAATACATGAACGGATACACACTGGTGAAAAACCCTTCAAATGCGAAGTTTGTGATCGGACCTTCCGTGCGAAACAGAATCTCACCGTCCATCGACGCTCTCACACCGGTATTAAGAATTACAAATGCGAATATTGTGGTAAAGGTTTTCTGCGTAAAATTGATCGGAAAGTTCATTATCGTAAACATACCGGTGAGTTTTAAATATATATTGTGCTTTAAATATTATTTAAGATGTCATTTTATTGTTCGATTATGCTTGTTTTGGATGTAAAAACATCAATGTACGATCGAATTGTTTAAACATATGTTCGAATTCGAACATATTTAAGCTAAGTATCGTAATGTTCGAAATATTGCATGTTCCGAGTAGTTGTTACATATATGATCATTTATATTGTATAAGAGTTATGGTTATGATCGAGCTGCTCGAAGATACGTTCAAATTCGAACATACGATATGATCGACTATGTTCAAATTCGAATATAATTGAACTGATTAAGCATTGTACTGTTTGAAAGCTTGCTTAGAACGAGCAGTTCGAAAATACTCCAACATACATATTATGCTAAAGCATATGATGTCTGCTAGAACACATGTTCGATTTCGAATATATTTGAATTGACCAATCGTCGTAACATACAAAAACTTTAAAACAGTAATTTTTTAAACATTAATTATATATAAAAAAAAACTTAATTAAAAATAATTTTCTAATATTATTTAAGGTGAGAAACCATTTAAGTGCGAAATTTGCGACCGTAACTATTCCTCACGATCTCGGGTACGCTTTCATATAGAAAGTAAGCATATGAACGGAACTACCAAAGAGAAGAAACCACGCAAACCAAGAGGATCCAAAGCTAAAGAATTGTTGAATCAAAATCAAATCTTAGAAGAAATCATAGACGACGATCAAGAAGTTGTTGAATCTCCAATGGAAGTTGCATTGGCGGCGAATGATAATTTAGATAAGAGTGCTAATAAAAGTATGCTATCAACAGACCAAAGGAAACAAACGGATACAAAATTAAACCAGGTTAATGAAAATTTATCACTGGATTGTACAACTCAACAAATATCTGTAAAGTTATCGATGCAAGTAAAAAAACTACCAGTAACGGCAATGCCAGAAAAAGAACATGTTGGTTCCGACTTGGTCGGTGGAAAAGCGAACCGTCGAAAACGAGTCGCAGCTCGCCAAAAAACAGAACGAAAGATAACAAGTTATTTTTCTATACCTGGATGAAAAACTAATTTTTTTTGTATTGAGATGGGTGTTGAGTAAGTCACAACTACATTTGTTTTTATAATTTTCATCTATCAAAATAATTTTTTTACAATTTTTTTTTTATAATTTTGTCTACAAAATAATTTGTTTTTTTTTTTTTCATTAAATTGAAATTTTTTTGTATTCATTTCTTTTTTAAATAAATTTATTTCTTAAATTAATTTATTTTTTATATTAATTTCTTTTATATAAAATTTTTTTTATAAAATCTTTATATTAAATACTTTTATATAAATATTTTTTATAAAATTTTGAAATTAATTACATTTTTATATTTATTTCTTTTTATTTCAAATTAATTTTTTTTATAATAATTTTTTTTTATATAAAGTTTTTTGTATAATATTTTTTATATAAATTTTTTTGTATAATATTTTTTTATATAAATTTTTTTGTATAATTTTTTTTTATATACATTTTTTTTCTTATAATTTTCTTTATAAAAAAAATTTCATTCAAACATAAAAGACCTCGCAACAAGGCATTAGCATTAAGAGATTTTTATGAGCAGGGATTATACATTTTATATATACATAAAAAACACTTATATTAAAAGACTTAAATACTTTTTAAAAGTCATCGAATAATATTAATTTAAAAACAAAAACAAACAAAAAAAATTAATGGATATTTTATAAATATTATATATAAAACAAATTAGGTTGTTTACTTATACAATTATAGGATAATTGCATTTTAAATACAATCTTTTACTTTTTATATAGAATTGTGAATTAAAAATAACATTAAATAATATTAACATTATAATTAAAAATATTTAAATAAAATATTGTTGAATTTCAAATTTATAAACTGAAAACATTATATTAATATCAATGTCACGATGTATACATTCTCAAAAAAAAGCATTTTTTTTTTGCAACAAGGGGTAGGTAGAAACCCTTTGTTGATTTGAGTTCACCCTTATTTTACTGGGGATTTAGTTTCTAACAACAGTGGTTAATTTGATTTGTAGTCTTATTATTTCTCTGGCTATATAATTGTGTATTATTGAATTTTTGAAAAATTACCTTCAATTATCTTTCATTGTCAAACTTATTGGGTTGATTGAAGTTTAAAAAATTGTTTGCAGTGTAAATGAATTTAAATTATCAAAACATAATTTCATTGAAGTGTGAACAATTCAATTTTTATAGTGTAAATTAATTTTAAAGTATTTAATAAATCAGTTAAAATATTTTTTTTTTATATACAAACTACAAATTATAACGATTTATTACAAACTACAAATTATAAAGATTTATTCCCAGTAAGAATAGGGTTAATATCAAAAAAAAAAAACACAAAAGGTTTATAACAATCTAGTGTTTTAATTAAAGTAATTAATCTTGTACAAATAAAACAATATAATCAAATAAATAAGTATTTAAAAACATATGCTATAAAAAATATACCATTAAAATATATAAACTGAAATGCATGTTTAATATAATAGAAAATATATATTTTTATATATATTTATTTCTGTTTAAACATATACACAATAATACGAACAAATTTTTTAATTAAATTATTTTAATAATTTTAAGTTAATTGCGTTTTATACAAAATTAAAGTGAGTAAATGATAAGTAAACTGTTATACTGAAAATCGGTTTAGTATATAATTTCTGACTAAAAATCTTTATTAGTTGATATTTATAGTTTATAGAGTAATGAAATGTAGAAATATATATTTATTATATAGTAAGTTTTTTATATTATTATAACATTTATTACATATTGTAACATGTTATATATGCAAACTATTTATTTATCGTAGGTTTTAGTATTTAGACTACTTAAATTCCATTAGCTTTAGTTAATATTATAAATATAATATATATATAATAATATTAGTAATAATATATATAATAATATATTTAATAATATATATAATAATATATATAATAAATATATTAATAAATATAATATATGTGAGCCATTCAATTCGAAATTAATAAAAGATTAAACCTACACCCAATACAAGCAATTTCATATATTAAATTAATAAAAAATTAGTACTAAATAAAATTAATTTCAAAATTTTATTGGTCAATAAATCATAAACCTTTAATCTTAAATTATGTAAATTGAATTACAAATTTTATTTTGAATTTTTAAATTATTTTTATGAATATTCTACATTTTTTTATTAATTTTTAGAAAATGTGTTTATAATTATTAAATTATTATCACATTTATTAAACAATTGTATACATTCTTAATTATCATTTATTAAAACTGTATACAATTGTTAGTAAATATTATAAACATTCGATTTTTTTTATTATTTTTTATATAATATTTTTATGATAATTGATTAAAAATTGTACAAAAACAGCATACGTGAATAATAAAATTTCAGCATGTTTTTGTTCCGCATTTTTGATAAATTTTTATAAAAATTATAAAAGAATTAATTTTTTATAAAAATTATAGTTTAATTAATTAAATAATAATATCGAGACGAAAAATTACCGATAATTTTTTTAAATGATAATTTTAATTAATTTGGTATAAAGATTATGGAATAATTATTTATACAAATGATTGATAATATTATTATAAAAATTATAGATTACTTCAAATTTTAAAAAATTATATATTAATTAATTAATTTTATTTTTTATTAATAATTAAAAATTGTGTAAATAATGTTTTTTATTTTGCATTGTAAATAAATGTTCATGAAAAATAATTTTATTATATTAAATAATTTTTTATAAATAATTTTATAATTATTAATATTTTATAAAAATTAGAGATTAATTAATTTTTTATATTAAAAAAGTGTCTAAAGCATTTTTTTTAAATGAAATTAAAATTAAAATCTTTTATTATTAAAGAAATTAAATCTTTTAATATTAATTAAAAATAAATTTGTAAATTATGATACAAAGAATTATTATCAGAATCGAAAAAGATATAATAATACTATAATAAATAAAATATACATTAAGACTGAAAAGTTTTCGGAAATTCTCATTTAAAATTCGCGCGCTGTATATTTTTCGATATTTTAAGTTTATGTAGTTTGGCAGCACTGTCCTTAATTACTATGCCAAAAATGAGCGCGATCTGTCAGACAGTTCGTTTACGGCAGCTGTTGAAACCAGTTCCCCTCAGTAGTGCGTTGCGAAATGTCTTCGACGGTCGTACGACCGTCCTGAAAGGCTTTGTACCACTCATAAACTTGAGTTTTCGATAAAACTGATTCCCCATAAGCCTTTTGTAGCATTCGCAACGATTCTGCACACGAAATTTCGTTCGAAACACAAAATTTGATGCAAACTCTTTGTCCAATATTTTTTTCCATTGTTTTTTTCGCAACGCACTACTGAGGTGAACTGGTTTCAACAGCTGCCGTAAACGAACTGTCTGACAGATCGCGCTCATTTTTGGCATAGTAATTGTCCTTAATTGCTGCCAAACTACATAAACTTAAAATATCGAAAAATATACAGCGCGCGAATTTTAAATGAGAATTTCCGAAAACTTTTCGGTCTTAATGTAAAAAAATTTTGTAATTTTGTAAAAATTGTGTAAGTATGTAAAAAATTTTTGAAAGCGATATTAAAAGTATATACATACTCTACATTTGTAATTAATTTTTTATGAAGCACTCACATAATTGTAAACAATTTGTCTAATTATAAAAATCATTTTCACCGAAAAAAAATTAATATTAAAATAGTTATTAAGTGTAAATTATTAAATATGAAAGAAATTAAAATACAATTACAAAAATAATTATAATATTAGTAATTAAATATTATAATTATTAACTAATAAGTTAATAATAAGTTAGTTATTATTTTATATAAAAAATATTAATATGTTTAAGATTTAGAATTAAAGTAAGTTTATAACTGAAAGAGCAAACTGTTTAAAAAAATTAAATTAAATTTTGTAATTTAATGTAAATTTAATGTAATGTAAATTAATTTTGTAAAAATACTCGTAATAATTGATTTACTTAATCGATTTTATGATAATATGTATAAAGCATGGCTTGACTTTTTAAATAAACTCAATTACTCAATTACTAACTGAGAAGAAAACTTTGCTTTACAATATAGCTGTTAAAATCAAATAATTTAATTAAAAAAATTTTATTTTTATTTAAGATATTTAATTTTTTTTTCTATTAGCATTTAAGAAAAGAAACAGAATTAGTTTTTGAAGATCATATATATTTTATATTACACACAAAACACCATTTAATTTAAAAACACAATACAATATTTTAGAAATATTTTGCATAGCTATTAATTATATATTTAATAAAACAATATCAAATAAGTGAATTGTCCATAAATTTAAGTTATATATAGGATATACAAATGTACTAATTTTGGAGATTTTTTTTACAAATATAACTAAAAAATAAACAAATTAATATATAAAAAATGATTTTTCTTTGTCAAAGTTGTATTTATTTCTGTATAGTTCATATCAGAGAACTGTAATGAGTACTCAACGCTTGAATCATACCCGAATCATTGACTGTGTTTCATTTATATGCATTCTGACTCTCTTTTTCGTTGATTTGACTTCACCTGATTCATACAAACAGCTGACAGCATTTAAATGATTTATACTCTGCTCATATGATACTCATAAACACCGACATTCGACACAAAAGTAATGCGAGTTATTTATGAATCATTTATGAGTACTACGTCATATTCCTGAATAATTCGTTTATTACGAAAAACTCTGTGACAAATAAGTAAGCATTTAAAAACTAATATGATTAAAAGCAAATAATTAGGAGTTGATAAAAATACAAATAATATACTAAGTTTTCAATATATTTATTGCTAAAACTAATTAAAGAAAATCACAACTATGTATAAAAGAGTATAAGTATTCCAGGAATTATTTTCCTCAAAATTGCTTAAGAATAATATAATATAAAACCTACCATGAAGACTTTTGTGTAATAAATTTAGTCATAATATTTAAATATTTATATTTCTAAAAATTTGGATTAATACTCAATGTTCAAAGATAGGTACTTGAAATCGACCTGTAATTTATTTGAATTATTTATTACTATAATTTATTTTTCTATACCTGATTTTTTTAAAGAACAATCCCTAAAACAATCTCTGTTTTAATGCACAAGAAATATTCAAGAACACAAACAAAATACTTGCATTTACAATGCTAACAACAACAACACATACCAAAACCATAAAACTAAACAAAGAAAATTTTTGCTTCGCACACAACAGCGCACACACAAAATTTCATACAGCACTCACACAAGTGATCGAGTCATTCATACTCACCTGAGTATATGCTATGATTCATGAATCATACGCATTATTGTGAAGCTGATTTATTAGCACCGGCATTCATTAACGAACATACTTATAAATCATTTCTGCGGTGAATGTGAATGCCTATAAGTAGTGTGTGAGAAAAACATTAATACGAATTTAGATTTGGTTTTTTACGAGTGCACTCTGAGTGTTAAAATTATGACTCGTTGCAGTTCTTTGGTCTATATGATAGAGTTGTTGTTGTAACTCACGGAGCTCCATCGAGCAGAAACCATAGCATGCAAGGGCCTACAAATACATATCCATAGCTTAGAATGTCGATAGGTGATAATAGTGTAAGATGGGAGGAGATTGTTTAGCAGCAAAAAAATATTGAGGGTGGGTGGGATATTAATTGAAGTCAACCGAAGTCAAGGCGGAGAAACCTACACACATCAATGGAGTAAGGTTTTAAGTCATGATAATCATCATTCTCCAATTAATCTTTTGCGTGGTTGTCCTATGTTTTGCTTAATGAAAAGTCTTGGTAAAGATTGTAATTTGGGATCTGCCCACTCGATTTTATCTGTGCTTATTCCCGAACTTAATAACAGTATATTATTACTTCGAGTGAAATAGCTCATTGTGAAATGATTTTTTATCATATGTATATTATGTGTATGCCTACATACACATACAGAAAAATACACATAGAAATTAAAGCAATAGCAAAGAGGAGTATTAATGCGACTCCCCCTCTCTTTCTTTTGAAGTGGCCGAAAACAATATTTCAGGGTACATAGGATAATGTTGTCCTCCGCCCCGAAATGTGATTAATTGATAACACGATGAGCATAGATAGATTCTAGATCTTATTTCTTTAGTGAATCATATTATAACACTTATTTATTGGAACTATTATTTGATTCAACTGGAAAATTCTCTTGAGTTTTAATAAAGCAGTAATTATGTTCAAGCAAAAAATATTTTTTCCGGTCCCCTTAGAGCCTCTTGGCTATTCCCATGCCAAAAATATTAGAAATGTAAATTTTGCAAAACTTTCATAATTCTTTATATATGCAATTATGTTAAAGAAAAGTCAATGGGCAGATTATTAGAATAGACAAAAATTTAAATCATTGTCGGAACTAGTATGATAGTTTCAAAGGAGTAAAAGAAAACTTACAGAAAAAAATATGATAAAGAGTAGAACGATAAATAATCACGGGAAAAATTTAAGAAATTGTTATATTTTATCAAAGTTCTATGTCTTAATATTGGAATTATATACTGATAATGGAAATAAATCGGAATCATACACATTTGCAGAATAATTCAAGAAATTATTCTTAAATAGTGTTGAAATTTTTAATTGTGACATTAATATTTATATATATATAATCATTATAATATAATTTGGGAGTTTACTTTATAAAATCTAAATCGTTTCCATATTTAATCATTTTTTATTTTAATGATCAAAATAAAGATTTGGAAAGTCATTTGTAGCTAACAGTATGTTTACACTATCTCAATTATTTCATTTTCGCAATTAATTTGCTAATTGTGTAGGACTTATTTACATCTTTCATATATAAAAAAGCTTCAGAAAACTGAATTGTATTGGTAGAAATATCTATTTATGACCTTAACTGTATTTAAACTCCCAAGTTATACTAAACTCCAACAGTACATTTTTGTATGGCTTTTTACCGACTTAATTGCGATAGTGTTAATGTTTTATAAGTTTGAATGCACTTTGTTTTTTGTTTTTGTTCGTTAATATTATTGATTAAAATATAATTTAATATTAAATTGAAATATTAAAAATTATTAGTAGGCTCTGAATTCGTTAACTTTTGAGTGGTATTATTCTAAGAAGAAGTTTCTATTTTTAAAGGCGCTTTAAATTTAGTGAGAAACAAACATTTATTTATTATTTAGCATTTGTATAAATGCACTAAGATTATAAAATTTTTTTTAAAGCATTTATTGTTAAATTATTGTATACGTGATAAAAGTTATGACATCGAGTTTAGTTTTGTGCAATAAGTTAGCTATTTTTAAGTTGTCTATTTTTACACGCTATGATTTATTTTCGAACTATAGGATTTTTACATAGTTACTAATTAGTATATATTAAATTAGTAGAATAAACAAATAATGTTTAATTAACATAAGAAATACTTCTTGTGGACATATTTTATACATAAATATTTATATACGTATTTTTTTGTTTTTTTTTTTATTTAACAATATGTCTTCATTAAATTGCTCTTATTTAAAGCGTAACATTACATTACAAACTATTTTAAATATACATACTGCAATAAATTATAGAATTAATTATAAACTATTTTAAGGGGCCTCCGAATAATTAGCCAGGGCTTATATACCAGATATCAATGTGCGTATTTGGAATTATAAAAATTTTAAATTATTTTTAAAAGTTTGACTGAATTCTATTTTTTGAAAATTAACATATTTTTAAATTATTATATATTTTACATATGAATGTTGTATTATTAAATATTAACATATATTTAAAAAATTTTATTGCTCTGAATGCAACCCTTATATTATGTGCTGAGTTTTTTATTAAACCTAAAAAAGATCAAATACACAAAATTGTTTGTATACACACATAAGATCCACACATATTCATGCTATTTCATTTTAACACACTCGCAACTGCATCACTAAATAGTTTGCAAAAACACATGCTGAGAGAATGTATGTGCTATTACACTCGCTCTTACTAGAGAGCATAATGCAAAAATCATACAAACAAAGAACAGTCAAAATAAAGAAATATAATAAATAACATTTGAGTGAGTAAAAAGCGGCGTCAGTAGTTTTAATAATGTGGACAGTGATTGTCTGTAATTGGCGAAATATATTAGATTAATAATTAAAATAATTGTTTTATTTAAAAATTAATTAAGATAATTTCGTTTTGAATAAATAAAATTATAATAAACGTGCATTGTGTTGATAAATAAATAAATTAAAATGCTTCCAATATTGCCGTGTTTTAAGCTTAAGTCTACGGATACAGGTGACGACAGCGATGATTCTACAGACTTATCAGATGAAGGTAGTGACATGGATGATGATATACCAGCAGTCACAGATATATTACCCATAAGCAGTGACGAAGAAGCCGAGTTAGAATCTCAGCGCATAGATATATCTGATTTATTTCGCAAATCATTGCCTGAGAAGGTGCATGGTTCGATCAGTGCGCACAGTAACGGCAGCGCTGCGTCTGTCGGTGAAGTAACAGAAAAAGAACAACAAACCAAACAAAATAAAAAAGAACCTGTAGATACAGGATTATTAAAAAATAAAGTTTTCTCAATAAAATTTAAATGTACAACGGGAAAAAGAAAAAAAACAATACATCAAAAAATACAAAAACATAAAAGCAAAAAAATTGTATTGGAAAATCAAGATTCTGGTTATCTAGAGAAGTCTGCGGTGTTAAAAGTTGATTCTAATACGGAAGGTAATGTTTCGTTACAGGTTGTTGAACCAACGAAAAAGCGTGATTCTTCCAAAATGTGTAAATCTACAACTAAACTTACTTCCTCCATAATATGTGGCATAATTTTCGCTTCATCCGAGACACACATAATCAAATTTCAATGTAAGAAATGTCGTAAATTAATGTATGATATTGATAACTTTTCAAAGCATCTGCATAAAGTACATGGTATTTTATCTTTGAACGAATTTTCATCCGATTTGAAGTCAATACTTGATACTCCAAGTAAGAAAGAATTGCGTCCAGATAAGAATTTGGTTTTTAAGCAATGTGGAAAAGTTGAGCTGATCGATGGCAACAAACTGTGCTTTGCATGCACTTTATGCAATAAATTCAATTATACTGACTTGAACCTATTACATAGTCATCTAAAAGAACGCCACACATGCTCTGTGACAGATGGTAGCGATCTTACTCATTTACAAAGGGTAGAGGTCAAAGGTGAAGTTTTTATTATAAAACATTTAAAGAAACCAGTAGATAAAGCGAAGGAAGACAATTGTACTGAAATGGAAGTTTCCACCTCCTTACCAACACTAATCTCAAGTCAAAATAAAGATGAATTGGCTGAAGATTTTAGTGAAGTTAGTTCTTTACCAATACCTGCGCCAGATACTCCACCACCAGAAAGTGATGATCTTATTAAACACAATGCTACACATATACCAGCTGATCAAAATGATAAGTATAAGACGACCACTCAAAGGAAGATTAAAAAGGTAAGTTAATTTTTTACATAAATTTTAATAAAAATTTTAATTTAAATGAACTGTTTTTGTCCTTAGCAAACAACCAGAAAATCAATAAATTTGAAACAAAGTGAAACCGCTATTACGTCTTTAAAGAAATCTGAAAAAATTATTGTGAAAAAACCTATTTCCATGAAACCAATCAAACTATCCTTAACTGAGTTGTTCAAGCCGACCAAACTTAAAACGAAATTAGCTGCAACAATTAAGCCAAATTTAAAACAAACTACTTTGTTTGATATTGTAAGTTTTACTAAAATGGACACCACTCTTACTAATAGTACGAAGGAACAAACAATAGTTAATAAAAAGCCACCAAAAAATGTTCTTATACCGAAAGTAGTTGAGAACACAACTTCACCGTCTGTTGTACCTAAAGACTTAAGGCAACAATCACAAACTTTAACTGTTGATGATAAAATAAATGTCTGTATGTCCTCCGACGTACATAACGATTTAAAACAAAAATCACCAGCTATTCATATTGATAATGACATACCAGTTCCAAAGAATCTAACGCAAAAACCATTGGCTTTGTATGTTGATAATGGAATGAATAAGTTTACACAACCGGATCCAAGTAATAACTTAACCAAACAAGTATCAGTTATGGCTGTTAATAAAAAAATGATCGATTTGTTACCACATAAATCTAAGGAGTTAAAGCGAATACCAACAGCTTTGCCTATTGATAACCAAATGGATGTGGACTTAATGAAAAAAAAATTGGTTGTGCATGCAGCAAATAAAGTTGATAAATTTATGTTACCGGTTCCATCTAATATTTTAACGCAACCACGATCAGTTCTATCCAGCGATTTAGAGCAAAAATCACCGTTTTTGCCTGTTGATAACAAAGTGGACGTTCAAAACAATTTAACGCAAAAGTCATCGGATTTACATGCTGATAATAAAATGGATGTAATTATATTACCAGATTCATCTAATAATTTAACACAAAAACCATCAATTTCGGTTGTTAATAGTGATATTTTATCACATTTTACTAAGGATTTTCATCAGCAAAAATCATCAGCTTTGCCTGTTGATAATAAAGTGCATGTCAATATGCAACTTAATGTTTCAAACAATTTAATGCCAAAATCAATGGATAATCTCATATTACCTGATTCATCTAACGACTTAACACAAAAATCACCAGTTTCGTTTCTACCTAAGGACTCAAAACAAATATCACCAACTTTACTTGAAGATAAAAAAATTCATTTAACTGTCGATGACAAAATAGTTGCCGATATGGAATCTCATCTTTCGAACAATATAATGCAAAAGCCACCTTCTCCACCAGAATCAGTTAAAAGTTTTGAACAAATTCTTTATGTTATAACTGAATTGAATGAAAACTCTAGTAAATCGCAATTAGATGCAAGCAATAAGGAAGGTAAATCAACCAAACAAACTTATAAGAAATGCAATACTATAGAGCCTCCAACCCAATTGATGGATCAAAATAAAGAGACCACAAAACCTGAAAAGAGAACCTATAACAAAAAAGCAAATGATATTCGTTTGACATGTGAAATTTGTTCCAGGACATTTAAGAAAAATTCTCGCCTAGCCGAACATAAACGTTTACATAGTGGCGAGAAACCTTACGCTTGCGATATATGCGGCAAAAGTTTTCGCATTAAAAGACGACTGACAGAGCACAAAATGCGTCATCGTAAGGAAAAGACTTTCAAATGTGAAAAATGTGAACTCGCGTTCGTACTGAAACAGGATTACACTTTGCATATGCGTCATCATACTGGCGATAGGCGACATCAATGTACAATGTGTTCCAAAGCCTTTGTGCGTAGTGTCGACTTAACAATACATAAACGGGTACATACTGGTGAAAAACCGTTCGCGTGCGAAATTTGTGGTAGAACATTCCGAGCCAATCAAAATCTCTTTGTCCATCGTCGTTCACATCTTGGTGAGAAGAATTTCAAATGCGAACATTGTGATAAGACCTTTTTGCGTAACATTGATCGGAAAGTTCATATGCGTACACACACAGGTGAGTTAAAAAAAATAATGAAATAACATTTTTAATAATGATAATTAAATAAATTTTTTTTATATTTAATTTTTAGGAGAGAAACCTTTTAAATGTGAAATTTGTGGACGTGGGTACTCGTCACGTGTACATGTGCGCTCGCATATAGAACGAGAGCATATGGGTAATGAAAATAAAAATAAATCATCTACTCGTAAACCTTATGTTAAAAAAAATAAGAAAGTGGTTCAGCAGAATAATGTCTTAGAAGTAAATGACAAGAAATTAATAAAAACTAGAAGTAGTAGTAAGCCAACTGAATTGGATGCAACAGTGGTGAGGATGGATAATTCTGAAGACAGTGAAAATTTGCAAGAGATGCAATCGATGCTAAAAAAAGAACAGAAGGATTTATCTATAAATTGTTTTAAGTCACAAGTTTCTGTGACATTATCAATGCAAGTGGAGAAATTGCCAGTGTTGACGGTGCCAAAGAATGAGAATGATAGCTCTATCTTGAGAAATGGTAATGCAACTCCTTCTGCTCTTGCAAGGAAATAAATACTTATTTGAAATATGTAAGTTAAATGTATGTTTACTTCAAAAATTTTGCTTCAATGAAAATTTTATTTAAATGAAAAATTTATTTGAATAAGAAATTACGAATTATATTTATTATGCATGTTCTCAATGAATTATAAAAGACCTCGCAATAAGGCATTAGTTTTAAGAAAGTTTTAATCAGCAGGGATTATAAATATATTTTTTTATACATAATAAATTTGAACTAAAGACTTAATATACTTTTTAAAAGTCAGCGAATAATATATAACAATTATATATATAAGAAAAATTCATTGAATATGTTAGAAGTTAATAAGTAGTTTTGAATTTTTATATATCATTTTAAATTTTACATATTTGAAGACTTTTTTTTATTTTAATATAAATAAAAATAAATTTAAAAATTTTAAGTTTTTGGGAAGTTAATAAAAATTATATAAAACTAATTATTATTCAATGAAAATATTATTCTTGAAACGAACATACGGTTCGCTACAGGGGTAGTTGCGAACCCCTCTTCAGTGCAACAATGATGCTCTCAGAGTTAACCCTTATTGTTTTGTGAATTCAAATTTTAATAAAAGTGGTTAATTTGATTTTTTGTTTTCACAATCTTTGAACATTAATAAAAAAGATTATTGGGTTAAATGAATATGAGAAAATATCCCTCAATTCGCTTCTAGTTTTTGTAATGTATGATTTGATTGCAGTATCAACAAAACAATTTTTACAGTGTAAACACAATTGAATCTATTTAAACAAAAGTAATAATTTTTAAAATGAATTAATAAGGTGAGAATAATTAATTTGCAATTTTTATTGTGTAAAAATAATAAATATGAGTTATAAAGCAGTCGTTTTATTTATATATAAACTAAATATATAATTTATTTCTAATGTCAAGGCATCTGTTCCAGTAGGAATAGGATTAAAAGCAACCGGCTTTTCATTCAAATTGAAATTTATACCTAAAATAAGCATATTAAGCAATATAACAATAATAAAAAATTAAAATAAAAATAATTTGAAATAATATAATTTGACAAAATATAATTAAAAAAATAAATTTAAAAAAAATTAATTAAAAAAAATAAATTAAAAAAATTAAAAATAAATAAAAAAAACCAAGAAAAAAATTAAGTAGAGTTTAAAAAAATTAAAGTAACTAAAAAAAAAACAAAAAAAAAAAAATTTACAAAAATTTGAAAAAAAAATTATTTAATATTATTTTTTTAAAGAGAGTTAAAAAATTAAATTAAAAATGAATTTAATATTCAAATTTTTCGAAAAGTTAAAAAAAAAATTAAAAATACAAGTAATAATCGAATTTTTCAAAAAAATAGTTAAAAAAAATTAAAAATGAAAATAGTTTATTAAATAAATAGAAACTTATAAAAAAAAAACAAAATTAAATGAAACATGAAACAACAAAAATTTAATAATTTTAATTAAGAAATAAAGAATAAGAAGAGCAAAATATTTACAAAAAAAATTGCAAAGGGTATATATATAAAATAAAAAGAAATAAATATTTTTAATAATATACAATGTAAAAAAAAACACATCTACAATAAAACATAAATATTTTCAGAATATTTTTTTTACAACAAATACAAAAAAATATGAACAAATTTTTTAACTGCAATTTTTTTTATAATTATAATTATAATGTAATACGCAACACTATATAAAAATGATATTGATAAGTAAACGACTATACTCAAATTACTATATACATTTATAATTTTTAAAAAAGAAAATATTTTTATATATATTTTTTATTGGTTCTTGACATTACCATTATATTAAATATATATCTATTAGATGATATTTTACAAGTTTATGACATTTTAAAAGTATTACCTTAAAATATGTTTTAATATTTTAACTACTTAATTACAAATAGCTTTAGTAATTTTAAAAACCGAAACATATAAAATAACATTTTTCAAAATACTGTCCCCAAAAACCGTTATAGCAAAATGGCGAAAAATTAAAAATAAAAAATTATTCTTAAGTTAGGGTAGAAACAAAAAAAAAAATAATTTAATTCTTTTTTAATACATTTTCTAATTAAATTAAAGTCATTAGTAATAACTAATATTTTTTATTTATTTTATTAATATTTATAATTGAAATAAAAAATTCAGCTTAAAATTTATTTTAAAGTATCAATAATAAAAAAAATTCTGACATGATTCAATAGTTACTATATACAGGGTGTTTTGTTTTAAAGTGCTTTTTTTTGAATTTATCGTGGCAAATATTGAAAATCTATTTAATAAATTTGAAAAATATATCTACATTTATGCTATTTAATTACGAAATACCATGTATATTATAAAGTAATGAAACCGGAAATTGAATCTGTCCTAAATTCGAATAATAGATGGATGAAATTGTCGAGACTTATTATGAATGATTAAGCAATTAAGTGTGGGTTTGTTTTTAATTATTTTTATTTTTCAATTACCAACTTAGGTAGGAGAATAATATATATACTTATTAAGAATTTTTTTTCCGCCTTTTAGGTGTTAATATTGACATACAATCACACACAAAAAAAAAACTGCTTAAACCATGTTCATTTAAATTAAATTAAAATTAATTTAATTGTTCCATGTTTATTAAAATATGTTTCATCAAAAATATTTATTTCTTAGTAAGAAATATTAAAACAATAAAGTATAATTTTTACAATGAAATTAAAATATTGAATTAATTCAATTAAAATTTATTCACGATAAATTAATTTTTATGTTTACATTTTTATATAATATTTTATTTGATATATAAAATATATGTATTTTAATATATAATATATATTTTAATGTATAATATATATTTTATTTCACAATGTTTTATTATATATATATTATTTATTTGCATGCACAAATTAATAATGTGAAGACTCAAAATAAATTAAAATCATTTTAATATTTTTTTAAATATTTTATTGGTGAAAAGTTATTTGAAAACCTTTTTATAAATTATATAAATTCTATTATAAAAATAATTTTTTTATAAATTTTATAAATTCATTTCTATAAGCATGCCACTTGCATTTAAATTCAAGTCTTAAAAGTTTTACTATATATAGTATAAATTCAATATATAATTATATAAAAGAAAAAAAAACTAATTTTATTTTATAAACTAATTTTAAAACTATGAATATAGTATTAATTTTTAATTTTGTGTAATAATTCTTTATAAGAAAAAATCACTGTCCAAAAAAATTTGTCCATAAAACTAAGTTTTATTTAAAATCATAATTAAATATATTATTTTAAAAACTTACTATTTTTATACAAAGTTTAAAAAAATAAAATAAAAAAAATTAGAAGTATAAAATAACTTTTTAATTGGGTACATTTTTCATATATTCTCTTTTGGGAATCGTGGACGGTACTTGTTTGTCGAAATTGAAGAGCGGCTGCAGGACGTAGACCCGGACAATTCCGAAACAAATCTTTAGATATCGGTACTGTGTACCTTGCCTGGCAGTCGCACATTGCTAATAATGTAAAGTATTTCAGAAGAAATAGTTTATAGAATACTCGGAAGCTATAATCTGACTTGTTAAATATGATTAACTACGAAGAAATGCTTTTTATTGAATATTTATTTATAAAAATAATTAACTAATCAGCGGAATTATTGTGTGGTCGTTCAATCTAAGGAAGTGTAGTTGGATTATGCAACTCTATTTGTTTATTATTAAATCTTCCATTGTATTTTCCATTGTATATTGATTTTGAAAACTAATTAATGTTAATTAAAATTTTTTATATATGTATTTTTGATTAATTTGCATTTTTTAAGGTATTCGCGTTCTTGGTGCCATTAACTGGCACTTTAACTGTTCTTTATTTGAATTCATATTTGACTTGAGGATTGACTGTTTGCGATTAAACTGAAGGGATACATTTCATTTATTTCTTCTTTTTTTAATTTCATTTAATTTCATTTATTTAGTGTTTTTTTTTAATTGATTAATAGCATCAAAGCATGAGTAAAATTTTAATCTACTAAATGTATAAAATTAATATAAAACCTATGAGATATCGAAGCATTTTAACACTTATCTATGCTGTGTTCCTGGTCAAATGGATATTTTTGGTAACTGCAAGGCGGACGAGTTGGCAAGATGTGTTGCTTCAGTTAATCATTTGTAAAACTAAAAAACTCTAGAGATATCGTTGACATCATGTAAACATTTCCCAAATTCTTTTTGTGCTGAAGAATTTAATAAAAGATGGAAAGACTCAACGATAAGCAAATTGTCGCGGTCTATTAAGAAATAATCCAATATTCTTATTGAGATGCTTCGAAGAGACATCACGATTGTTGTAAGTTTGTTGACGGGACACAGATGATCAAAACACCATGCTAGAAGTTTGAGTCACCCATTTATTCATTCTTTTTTTAGTTGTAGGGTAGACAATGAAAGTACCTTACATTTGCTGTTTAACTGTTCAGCGGTTTTTTTTTTTTGAGAAACTTCGTCTACTACTTGATCGCCTTGCCATAGGTCCAAGATGGTTTTTAAACATCTGAGTTTTTTATATACTACTTACACTTCGGACCCTTAGGAACGCTGGTATAACCGAATTTAACCTAAGAACAGATGTATAGGAGCCACTCAGAGATTACTTGACTAATAGTTAGACGTTTGTTTGCTGTTTGCAGGTTTTAGCTTACTATAAGAAGAATGTGTTTATAGAGTTAGCGCTATAAACAGTATCTTTCTCATTTCGGTGTATTTGTTAGAACATCTCCTCTTTTGATATTATTAATGTACGACTAAATTATTTCAGTAAATAATATTGACGATGTTTTTTTTATATAACCTAAAGCTAGTGTAAAAAGAGCAGAATTCAATAAATAATTGTACAAAACTAATTATTTATATTACAAATTACTTGTATATTTAATAGTGGATACGTATTACTTATGAATAAAAAATATGTATTAAATATTAGTAAATAAAAAAAAGTAATTATTCTATGCTTATAAGTTCAGGGGAATTTTATAATAATTATTTATACATATATGCATTCTTGATTGATTATTTATAAATTGACTTAAACAACAAATTGTGTTATATAAAAAAATTTTGAGTGCCAACAATTAAATATTCTAAAATTTGTTATTCATTACTGAGAATCATAAAAATGACATCATAATTACTGGAATTTCACCAAATCGCCAGCAAAAAAATAAATTTCATGTGTGAAATGTTACTCATACGGCATGCTTTACGCTTTGCTTTCGCTTAGTTCAGCACATAGGCGAGTTAAGAACCTCCAGAATATCGCTGACTTAGATTATGAAAGACGCAATTAATAGAATTGAAGAAATAAGAAAAGAAACTGAAGAAGCAAAAATACCACATAAACAAAAAAGAAAAGAAAGCAATTGCAGAAGAACGGAAAGAAATAAGTCAAGTATACGCCCCAAAAGCCAGCAACGATAAAGAAACTAAATAAAATTATTGTTGTGAAATGACAAACAAAAAAAAATAATAAATACACTAAACGATTATTTCTTTGCTATATGTTTTGTTGTGCGCTCGTGGCAGCTTAAGCGCTTGGAGTGGGAGCAAAAAAATATAACAAGAGAGAGAGAGAGAGCGATTTTTACAATAATTGCTTCTCTTAACAATACTTTTGTGATCTTATTTTTTTTATTATTGTTTTATAATTTATTTCATTATGTATTATTAATTAAAAAAATATTTTTTTTGTTTAATTCTTTTTACTTTTTTGTATTTGAAACAAAAAAAATTATTCCTTTATTAAGAAATCTTATGTATTGTGCTTTTTTTGTTGCTTATTATTATTGTTTCTTCTTTGTCACTTATTCTTAGCGGTTTATTGTTTTTGTTTGTGTTGTTTTAGCTTACAGGTTTTGAGAACATTTTTTACGGTCGTTAACTTTTTGTTTACTTTTTATACATTTTATTCTTGTACTCTTGTACTCATTAACTCCCGTCGTGCAGCTTGTGGAACGTATTTTAAATTGATATGTGTTTAATTCATTAATATTTTTGTCTCGTTTACTCATACACTTTACATTGAGTTAAGTGTTTATTGCGCATTTTCAACGAGTTTAGTTGTTTTGGCGGCCAAATTTTGAATTTGAATTTAAATTCAAAATAATTAAATAAATAATTTTTTATATTACACTTTTTATTTTTTATTTTTGCATCATGTGCTGTTGTTTATTTGCGTCATAAAATTTATGAATATATAAATCATTTAACAATGACCGACTAACGAATAACATCTAAATTAACATTGCTTATTAGGTGTGATCTGTTCAATTCATATGAGAATATTTGTTGTAATTAGCGGTAAAATTAATTTTTAATTTAATTATGTATGTTTATTATATTACTTTAAATATTTTTATTAATTGTGGAAAAATGTGAATTACAAAATTGATAAATGAATGAGTCAGTGATTCAATAAAGGAAAGTTTTTTTATCTATAAGGAATAATAGGAATTTAAAAAAAATAAAATTGAGGGCAGAAAGTTGTAAAACAAAAACAAATATTTTTATTTATTATATATAAATACAATATACAAATATTCTACAAGTCAATCTTATAATTGAAATAAAAAGACAAGCACTTGTTGTCAGAGTTTTCAAATCGGATATAATAAATTTAATTTTATTAACTGAATTAGACGCTCTAATATATTTATATATAGGCCAATATCAATTTTTTTGATACCCATAATATTTGAAATATTATTTTATATAGAATTAAAAGTAGAGTAATTGTTTATCATATGATGTATAGATAGTGGGCTATTAAAAATTGGACAATTAGATGGTTGTTCGTCACTCAGAATGTACTCTTGAGAAAATTTTGTATGTCTCTTTTTTTTTTCAAAATAAAAAAGTATTCGTTTTTCAGAAAATTATAAACAGCAATCAAATTTAATGCTATTGAGTAAACATTGTTCTTTTTAAGCCATATGATAATAGGTTATATCTTAATCTATCTGTTACTAACAGCACAAATGACTTAAAACTAATAGATCGCAAGTCATATCACAATAATAAACACATGTTACCCAACAACAATGATATTGATGATTTTAAGAGTAGTTTGGAATTTTTGAAGTGAGATAAAAAGGATTTTTTATACCAGTATGTAACAATGGGCGAAACTTGAAACTACTATTTTAATTCAATATTGAATTGATAGGCAGCTAAGTGAACAGTAGCCGTCAAAACTTGCCCAAAGAAGCAAACACATAACAGATAGCTGATAAGGTTATGTTGTAAGGTTATTTTGGGATACACATGGAATTTTGTTCATAGACGACCATCAATAGTTATAGCTACATTATTTAACTGGTACGTTTCAAAAAGAAAATCGAGAAACAATAGCCCCATATAACGAAAAAAGTGCTCTCTTATCAAGACAATACCTCATGTCACAAGTCAATGAGTACTATAGCAAAATTGTACGAACCACACTTCGAAGTGCTGTTGAACCTATCAAGGTCGTCAGATTTGTCCCCCCAGCAAATACTATCTGTTGATAGACTTCAAAAAAAC